GTGCTGCATGTAGCGTACAGTGTGCTGCGTGTAGCGAGCCGCGTACAGTGTGCTGCGTGTAGCGAGCCGCGTACAGTGTGCTGCGTGTAGCGAGCCACGTGCAGCGTGCTGCGTGTAGCGAGCCACGTGCAGTGTACTGCGTGCAGCGAGCCGCGTAGTGTGCTGCGTGTAGCGAGCCGCGTACAGTGTGCTGCGTGTAGCGAGCTGCGTGTAGCGTACAGTGTGCTGCGTGTAGTGTGCTGCGTGTAGCGAGCCACGTGCAGCGTGCTGCGTGTAGCGAGCTGCGTGTAGCGTACAGTGTGCTGTGTGTAGTGTGCTGCGTGTAGCGAGCCACGTGCAGCGTGCTGCGTGTAGCGAGCTGCGTGTAGCGTACAGTGTGCTGTGTGTATTGTGCTGCGTGTAGCGAGCTGCGTACAGTGTGCTGCGTGTAGCGAGCCGCGTACAGTGTGCTGCGTGTAGCGAGCCACGTACAGTGTGCTGCGTGTAGCGAGCTGCGTACAGTGTGCTGCGTGCAGTGTGCTGCGTGTAGCGAGCTGCGTGTAGCGTATAGTGTGCTGCGTGTAACGAGCCACGTACAGTGTGCTGCGTGTAGCGAGCTGCGTACAGTGTGCTGCGTGTAGCGAGCCGCGTACAGTGTGCTGCGTGTAGCGAGCTGCGTACAGTGTGCTGCGTGCAGCGAGCTGCGTACAATGTGCTGCGTGTAGCGAGCCGCGTGCAGCGTGCTGCGTGTAGCGAGCCGCGTACAGTGTGCTGCGTGTAGCGAGCCGCGTGCAGTGTGCTGTGTGTAGCGAGCTGCGTGTAGCGAGCTGTGTACAGTGTGCTGTGTGTAGCGATCTGCGTGCAGCGTGCCGCGTGTAGCGAGCCGCGTACAGTGTGCTGCGTGTAGCGAGCTGCGTGCTACGTGCTGCGTGCAGCGTGCTGCGTGTAGCGAGCTGCGTACAGTGTGCTGCGTGTAGCGAGCTGCGTGCAGTGTGCTGTGTGCAGCGAGCTGCGTACAGTGTGCTGCGTGTAGCGAGCTGCGTACAGTGTGCTGCGTGTAGCGAGCTGCGTACAGTGTGCTGCGTGTAGCGAGCTGTGTGCAGTGTGCTGCGTGCTACGTGCTGCGTGCAGCGTGCTGTGTGTAGCGAGCCGCGTACAGTGTGCTGCGTGTAGCGAGCTGTGTGCAGTGTGCTGTCTGTAGCGAGCTGCGTGCAGTGTGCTGCGTGTAGCGAGCTGCGTACAGTGTGCTGCGTGTAGCGAGCTGCGTACAGTGTGCTGCGTGTAGCGAGCTGCGTACAGTGTGCTGCGTGTAGCGAGCTGCGTACAGTGTGCTGCGTTTAGCGAGCTGCGTGCAGTGTGCTGCGTGCTGTGTGTAGCGAGCCGCGTACAGTGTGCTGCGTGTAGCGAGCTGCGTGCAGTGTGCTGCGTGCTGTGTGTAGCGAGCCGCGTACAGTGTGCTGCGTGTAGCGAGCTGCGTGCAGTGTGCTGCGTGCTGTGTGTAGCGAGCTGCGTACAGTGTGCTGCGTGTAGCGAGCTGCGTACAGTGTGCTGCGTGTAGCGAGCTGCGTGCAGTGTGCAGCGTGCTGTGTGTAGCGAGCCGCGTACAGTGTGCTGCGTGTAGCGAGCTGTGTGCAGTGTGCTGTCTGTAGCGAGCTGCGTGCTACGTGCTGTGTGCAGCGTGCTGTGTGTAGCGAGCCGCGTACAGTGTGCTGTGTGTAGCGAGCTGCGTGCAGCGAGCTGCGTGCAGCGAGCTGCGTGTAGCGAGCTGCGTGCAGTGTGCTGCGTGTAGCGTGCTGCGTACAGTGTGCTGCGTGTAGCGAGCCGCGTACAGTGTGCTGCGTGTAGCGTGCTGCGTACAGTGTGCTGCGTGTAGCGAGCCGCGTACAGCGAGCTGCGTGTAGCGTGCTGCGTACAGTGTGCTGTGTGTAGCGAGCCGCGTGCAGTGTGCTGCGTGTAGCGAGCCGCGTAAAGTGTGCTGCGTGTAGCGAGCCGCGTGCAGTGTGCTGTGTGTAGCGTGCTGCGTGCAGTGTGCTGTGTGTAGCGAGCCGCGTACAGTGTGCTGTGTGTAGCGTGCTGCGTGCAGTGTGCTGCGTGTAGCGAGCTGCGTGCAGTGTGCTGCGTGTAGCGTGCTGCGTACAGTGTGCTGTGTGTAGCGAGCTGCGTGCAGTGTGCTGCGTGTAGCGAGCTGCGTGCAGTGTGCTGCATGTAGCGAGCTGTGTACAGTGTGCTGTGTGTAGCGAGCTGCGTGCAGTGTGCTGCGTGTAGCGAGCCGCGTGTAGCGTGCTGCGTGTAGCGAGCTGCGTACAGTGTGCTGTGTGTAGCGAGCTGCGTGTAGCGTGCTGCGTGTAGCGAGCTGCGTGCAGTGTGCTGCGTGTAGCGAGCTGCGTGTAGCGTGCTGTGTGTAGCGAGCTGCGTGCAGTGTGCTGCGTGCAGCGAGCTGCGTGCAGTGTGCTGCGTGTAGCGAGCTGCGTGTAGCGTGCTGTGTGTAGCGAGCTGCGTGCAGCGTGCTGCGTGTAGCGAGCTGCGTGCAGTGTGCTGCGTGTAGCGAGCTGTGTACAGTGTGCTGCGTGTAGCGAGCTGTGTACAGTGTGCTGCGTGTAGCGAGCTGCGTACAGTGTGCTGCGTGTAGCGAGTTGCGTACAGTGTGCTGCGTGTAGCGAGCTGCGTACAGTGTGCTGCGTGTAGCGAGCTGCGTGCAGTGTGCTGCGTGTAGCGAGCTGCGTGCAGTGTGCTGCGTGTAGCGAGCTGCGTGCAGTGTGCTGCGTGTAGCGAGCTGCGTGCAGTGTGCTGCGTGTAGCGAGCTGCGTGCAGCGAGCTGCGTGCAGTGTGCTGCGTGTAGCGAGCTGCGTGCAGTGAGCTGTGTGTAGCGTGCTGCGTGTAGCGAGCTGCGTGCAGTGAGCTGCGTACAGTGTGCTGTGTGTAGCGTGCTACGTGTAGCGAGCTGCGTGCAGTGTGCTGTGTGTAGCGAGCTGCGTACAGTGTGCTGCGTGTAGCGTGCTGCGTGTAGCGATCTGCGTACAGTGTGCTGCGTGTAGCGAGCTGCGTGCAGTGTGCTGCGTGTAGCGTGCTGCGTACAGTGCTGCGTGTAGCGAGCTGCGTGCAGCGTGCTGCGTGTAGCGTGCTGCGTGTAGCGAGCTGCGTACAGTGTGCTGCGTGTAGCGTGCTGCGTGTAGCGTGCTGCGTGCAGCGTGCTGCGTGTAGCGTGCTGCGTGTAGCGAGCTGCGTGCAGTGTGCTGTGTGTAGCGTGCTGCGTGCAGTGTGCTGCGTGTAGCGAGCTGCGTGTAGCGTGCTGTGTGTAGCGAGCTGCGTACAGTGTGCTGCGTGTAGCGAGCTGCGTGCAGTGTGCTGTGTGTAGGGAGCTGCGTGCAGTGTGCTGCGTGTAGCGAGCTGCGTGCAGTGTGCTGTGTGTAGCGTGCTGTGTGTAGCGAGCTGCGTACAGTGTGCTGTGTGTAGCGAGCTGCGTACAGTGTGCTGCGTGCAGCGTGCTGCGTGCAGCGTGTAGCGTGCTGCGTGCAGTGTGTAGCGAGCTGCGTGCAGTGTGCTGTGTGTAGCAAGCTGCGTGCAGTGTGCAGTGTGCTGTGTGTAGCGAGCTGCGTGCAGTGTGCTGTGTGTAGCGTGCTGCGTGCAGTGTGCTGCGTGTAGCGAGCTGCGTACAGTGTGCTGCGTGTAGCGAGCTGCGTGCAGTGTGCTGCATGTAGCGTGCTGCGTGTAGCGTGCTGCGTGCAGTGTGCTGTGTGTAGCGAGCTGCGTGCAGTGTGCTGTGTGTAGCGAGCTGCGTGCAGCGTGCTGCGTGCAGAGTGCTGTGTGTAGCGAGCTGCGTGCAGTGTGCTGTGTGTAGCGTGCTGCGTGTAGCGTGCTGCGTGCAGCGTGCTGTGTGTAGCGAGCTGCGTGCAGTGTGCTGTGTGTAGCGAGCTGCGTGTAGCGTGCTGCGTGCAGTGTGCCGTGTGTAGCGAGCTGCGTGCAGTGTGCTGTGTGTAGCGTGCTGCGTGTAGCGTGCTGCGTGCAGCGTGCTGTGTGTAGCGAGCTGCGTGCAGTGTGCTGCGTTAGCGTGCTGCGTGCAGCGTGCTGCGTGTAGCGAGCCGCGCGCCCTGCAGACCGCAGTGTGTGGCGTGCCAAACGTGATGGCGTGCCGCGTGCGTTCAGCATCGCAAGTCATCACGCAGCCCGCCACGTGCCACGCACAGTAACATTGCACGCAACGTGACGTTACACGCATTGTGACATTACAATACGTGTAACGTTACATATCATGTGCAGTGTGTCACATTTTACACCCAGCACTTCATGCACGCATTATGTAAGCGCTATGCCCTGCGCTTCATGTACTGTGTGTTAGGCGTTTCGTGCTGTATATTGAGGAAAGTACTACTGCCGTGCATTAGTCACCGATTATCAAGCTTTGTGTTATGCACCAAGTATTGTGTCTGTGTAACATGTTCCAGGCTTTATGTGCATGTATTATCTGCTCTATGTTATGTAGCCGGTCTTATCTACCGCACGTTAAGTGGCTTGCATTAAGTGCTGCATGTCACGTCGGACGTATCTTGCTCACGCTGCACGGCGTGCATCACGTGCTGCTCTTAGATGCCGCATCATGTATTATCTCCCGGGCATTAATCGTCATTTATGAAGTGCTGCACACTGCACATTATGTTCCGTGTATGACGTGTGCTGTTTCGCATCACGTGCTATTGTATTACTTTCCAAGTGTTATGTTCCATGTATTAAGTGATGTGTGCTGTGTGTCATGTACCATTAATTATGTCCCGCGTTGGATGTCATGTGCTACGAGTTGTCACGTATAAAATGCCTTGTATTATGTGGTGTGTTGCATGTAATGCACTGTGCATCCCGTGCCATGCATTACAAGTTTCGTATTACATGCGATGTTGTATCACACGCTGCGCTTCGTGTACCCTCCAGCATGATCCCTGCATTACGTGTCGCGCCCGTGGTTACGTGCCGCGTGGTTAACTGTCGCGTGCATGGTCACGTGTCACGCCCGTGGTTACGCGCCATACCCTGCAGGCTGCGGTGCGACGGTTGGTCGGTGCCGGGGCTGCAGCCCTCCTCGTCGCTGGCGTCAGCACACTGGCTCGCCCCGTCACACCTCATCAGCGAGGACGAGACGCACTGCCCGTCCCGGCAGCGAAACTTGCACTCTGAAACGCAGCAAGAAGCAGCGCACACGCTCAGGACCTCGGCACGCCTCGAGCACACTGGCAGCCTGTGCTGTGCTTCTTCTCCGTCTCATGTCAGTCTGCACCATTGCTCTCGTGGATAAGGGCATTCTTCGTTTGCAACTCTTTAAAATAATCATTCAAATTTATAATGCGCATTCCATCCGAGGATCCAAATGCAGTGAACACCTCGTGTGAGACCAAGTCACAAAGCCATCTTCGAGGTCCGTCCGCTTGTCTCTTATCCACACGAGCTGATGCACCTTCCCACACAACCCTCTACGGAGGAGTGTTTGTCACATGCGAATGAAAATGAAAGTGTTTGAATCTCCCAAATTAAGTTAAAATCCGATTTTGGCTTTCCTTTTTTTCCCTTTTCAACCGAAATACCAGAGAAAACGTTTCAAGGGGCGTCTTAGACCGCCGTGTGGTTTGTCCGTTCGCGTGTGCCAATCGGTGTGCTCGTTACTGGCATTCCACTGGAAACGATGACTGCTTCCCAACTTTCATGATGGGGAATCGTTTCTGAAAACGGTGACCGTTTATCATTCAACGGCACGAGTTCTCATCCAGTCAGGGCCACAGTGGCTCACGTTTCCACAAACGGCACCACGACCCGAATCTCCCCCACTCCCATTCTTCCCAACCCCTCTTTGGCATCAACTCAACTCGCCGTGTTTGGAGGAGGAATGCTGCCTATGACCCCAAGAACACCATCCCCACCGTCAAACATGGAGGTGGAAACATTATGCTTTGGGGGTGTTTTTCTGGTAAGGGGACAGGACAACGTCACCGCATCAAAGAGACGATGGACGGGGCCATGTACCGTCAAATCTTGGTTGAGAACCTCCTTCCCTCAGCCAGGGCATTGAAAATGGGTCGTGGATGGGTATTCCAGCATGATAATGACCCAAAACACACGGCCAAGGCAACAAAGGAAAGGCTCAAGAAGAAGCACATTAAGGTCCTGGAGTGGCCTAGCCAGTCTCCAGACCTTAATCCCATAGAAAATCTGTGGAGGGAGCTGAAGGTTCGAGTTGCCAAACGTCAGCCTCGAAACCTTAATGACTTGGAGAAGATCTGCAAAGAGGAGTGGGACAAAATCCCTGCTGAGATGTGTGCAACCTGGTGGCCAACTACAAGAAACGTCTGACCTCTGTGATTACCAACAAGGGTTTTGCCACCAAGTACTAAGTTATGTTTTGCAGAGGGGTCAAATACTTAAGTAATAAAGGTCGATGAGGTGACTTCTGGAATCCGGTCTTTTATTCAACTTGCATTACAGCTTTCCTTCACGCTGCTGACAGGCAGCGTGAGAGGGATAGATAGAGAGACGCACTGCCACGTGGCAACCCGGAGCCCCGCTCACGCGTGGCCCCCTTCCTCCGTTCGTTCCCGTTCTGACCACGTGTCGTTCGTCTCCACCCCTATTTAATACCCGGGTCACGTGGTACGTTTCCACCAATCCTGGTTAGCCTCCATGGAATATTCCAGGCTCCCTCATAGGCTCCCGGGACCACGCCCCTGACTCATCTCCTCATTGGCTGTGGCCAAAGCCAGCAGAAACCAATACTCTACTTACAGCTGTCACCTTTCCATTACGTCAGGGCCACGCCCCTAGGCTTCCCCCCATTGGCTATAGACCAGGACCGGCAGAGCCAATCATCATGACGAGTTGCGATACGTCAGTGAGCCGGATATATCCTCACATTACACTTATTTCCCTCATTAAAATGCAAATCAATTTATAACATTTTTGACATGCGTTTTTCTGGATTTTGTTGTTGTTATTCTGTCTTTCACTGTTCAAATAAACCTACCATTAAAATTATAGACTGATCATTTCTTTGTCAGTGGGCAAACGTACAAAATCAGCAGGGGGTCAAATACTTTTTTCCCTCACTGTACATGATGAGATGCCACTTGGTTGAGCTATCATTTGTGGCCAAGCTGCTTCAAAAAAATAGCTACATAGCTCCGTGGGCATTATTTGGTCAAATAACAAAAACATTGTTTAGTCTTTGAGAGAGATCGCCCTCGGTGCATAGTCTCTCTCGTTGCAGCTGACGCTTTTCCACGAGGGTTCACGTTGAGAGGTGGCAGACATCAGTCGGCCGATGAGCAGCAAGAGAAAAGCGCCCTGAAGAGCCGATATGATTTTGATAAATAATGTAAAAGCACCTCTGTGGAATGCCTGCAATGGCGCTCTAGTAACGTCACCGATTTGAAACAGCTTTTAACACATCGCTGCAGTGGTGTCACTGCAGTGCACTCGTTAAGACTCCTTTAAAGTCATTTTCTCATGAACGAAGCTTCAAACTTGTATCGGACAGCCCGGGACCCATATTGGAGGTGCGTAAGCTACACGACAATGGCAAGTTGTTGTTTTGGGCTGCAGAAATCTTTTATATGCAGAGGGAGATGTGCAGGGTGGCTCAGAAGTCAGGGGGGCCACCTGTGAGTGAACGGGGTGGGGTTCACAAGTGTAGTGACACTCTCAGCCCCTTCACCAGTGAATATAAAAAACAAATGCTGCATTTAATCTGGATGTGCACTTACTTTGGATACATTCCCACTGTGAGAATAAAAAATAAGATTGACCGTGTTGTGATGAACGTTTCTTCTTGCATGCGGAGTTGGGGAGGTGGGGGGGATGAGGAGAGTACTGCCCCCTCCTGTGCAGTCCAGAATTCAGAGGGAGCTCTGTGATATCCGCTTTTGTGGGCCGCTCTCCAACACAAAGGGTCACACTACTCTGCGAGGGTTTCATGTGGAACGTTCGTGTCACCGCGCGATGTAATCAAACTGACAACTGACGGACGCTCGGAGACGTGCGCAGGTCACAATGCGGCTTCGCTCACCGGTGAAGGTCACCGTCGCCTGGAACTCCGCGGCCGCCACACTGCCCTCGGTGGCGCCGGCGCCCGCCCACTGGAACTCGAGCGTCAGCTCGCCGCGGCTGGACAGGACACTCCGGAAGGGCGCCGCCGCCGATGGCGCGGCCGGCGCGCCCGCGGAGGCCGGCCGCTCGCTGCAGATGCGCAGGAGGCGCGGCGATGCGGATGGGGGCCCCTCGCCGTCCGGGAAGCCATCACGCACCTCCAGCCAGGGCAGGGCACAGGCGGCTCGCGGCGTCGTGTTCACATCGCTCGAAACGCCTGTCCGGGAAACGCGGCGCCATTAAGAAGCCAGCGTGGGTCAAGGTGTGAGACCAGGACAGTGTAGGTTAAGGTGTTAGACTAGGATGGAGTGGGTTAAGGTGTTAGACCAGGATAGTGTGGGTTAAGGTGTTAGACCAGGACAGAGTGGGTTAAGGTGTGAGATCAGGACGGAGTGGGTTAAGGTGTTAGACCAGGACAGTGTGGGTTGAAGTGTTAGACCAGGACAGTGTGGGTTAATGTGTGAGACCAGGATGGAGTGGGTTAAGGTGTTAGACCAGGACGGAGTGGGTTAAGGTGTTAGACCAGGACAGTGTGGGTTAACGTGTTAGACCAGGATGGAGTGGGTTAAGGTGTGAGACCAGGACAGTGTGGGTTAAAGTGCTAGACCAGGACAGTGTGGGTTAAGGTGTTAGACCAGGACAGTGTGGGTTAAGGTGTTAGACCAGGACAGTGTGGGTTAAGGTGTGAGACCAGGACGGTGTGGGTTAAGGTGTTAGACCAGGACAGTGTGGGTTAAGGTGTTAGACCAGGACAGTGTGGGTTAAGGTGTGAGACCAGGACAGAGTGGGTTAAGGTGTTAGACCAGGACAGTGTGGGTTAAGGTGTGAGACCAGGACAGAGTGGGTTAAGGTGTTAGACCAGGACAGTGTGGGTTAAGGTGTGAGACCAGGACAGAGTGGGTTAAGGTGTTAGACCAGGACAGTGTGGGTTAAGGTGTTAGACCAGGACAGAGTGGGTTAAGGTGTTAGACCAGGACAGTGTGGGTTAAGGTGTGAGACCAGGACAGAGTGGGTTAAGGTGTGAGACCAGGACAGTGTGCGTTAAGGTGTTAGACCAGGACAGTGTGGGTTAAGGTGTGAGACCAGGACAGTGTGGGTTGAAGTGTTAGACCAGGACAGTGTGGGTTAAGGTGTGAGACCAGGACAGTGTGGGTTAAGGTGTGAGACCAGGACAGTGTGGGTTAAGGTGTGAGACCAGGACAGTGTGGGTTAAGGTGTGAGACCAGGACAGAGTGGGTTAATGTGTTAGACCAGGACAGTGTGGGTTAAGGTGTGAGACCAGGACAGAGTGGGTTAAGGTGTTAGACCAGGACAGTGTGGGTTAAGGTGTTAGACCAGGACGGTGTGGGTTAAGGTGTTAGACCAGGACAGTGTGGGTTAAGGTGTTAGACCAGGACAGTGTGGGTTAAGGTGTGAGACCAGGACGGTGTGGGTTAAGGTGTGAGACCAGGACAGTGTGGGTTAAGGTGTGAGACCAGGACGGTGTGGGTTAAGGTGTGAGACCAGGACAGTGTGGGTTAAGGTGTTAGACCAAGACAGTGTGGGTTAAGGTGTGAGACCAGGACAGTGTGGGTTGAGGTGTGAGACCAAGACAGAGTGGGTTAAGGTGTGAGACCAGGACAGTGTGGGTTAAGGTGTGAGACCAGGACAGAGTGGGTTAAGGTGTGAGACCAGGACAGTGTGGGTTAAGGTGTTAGACCAGGACAGAGTGGGTTAAGGTGTTAGACCAGGACAGTGTGGGTTAAGGTGTGAGACCAGGACAGTGTGGGTTAAGGTGTTAGACCAGGACAGAGTGGGTTAAGGTATGAGACCAGGACAGTGTGGGTTAAGGTGTTAGACCAGGACAGAGTGGGTTAAGGTGTTAGACCAGGACAGTGTGGGTTAAGGTGTGAGACCAGGACAGTGTGGGTTAAGGTGTTAGACCAGGACAGTGTGGGTTAAGGCGTTAGACCAGGACAGTGTGGGTTAAGGTGTGAGACCAGGACAGAGTGGGTTAAGGTGTTAGACCAGGACAGTGTGGGTTAAGGTGTTAGACCAGGACAGTGTGGGTTAAGGTGTGAGACCAGGACAGAGTGGGTTAAGGTGTGAGACCAGGACAGTGTGGGTTAAGGTGTGAGACCAGGACAGTGTGGGTTAATGTGTGAGACCAGGATGGAGTGGGTTAAGGTGTTAGACCAGGACGGAGTGGGTTAAGGTGTTAGACCAGGACAGTGTGGGTTAACGTGTTAGACCAGGATGGAGTGGGTTAAGGTGTGAGACCAGGACAGTGTGGGTTAAAGTGCTAGACCAGGACAGTGTGGGTTAAGGTGTTAGACCAGGACAGTGTGGGTTAAGGTGTTAGACCAGGACAGTGTGGGTTAAGGTGTGAGACCAGGACGGTGTGGGTTAAGGTGTTAGACCAGGACAGTGTGGGTTAAGGTGTTAGACCAGGACAGAGTGGGTTAAGGTGTGAGACCAGGAAAGTGTGGGTTAAGGTGTGAGACCAGGACAGAGTGGGTTACGGTGTTAGACCAGGACAGAGTGGGTTAAGGTGTTAGACCAGGACAGAGTGGGTTAAGGTGTTAGACCAGGACAGTGTGGGTTAAGGTGTGAGACCAGGACAGAGTGGGTTAAGGTGTGAGACCAGGACAGTGTGCGTTAAGGTGTTAGACCAGGAGAGTGTGGGTTAAGGTGTGAGACCAGGACAGTGTGGGTTGAAGTGTTAGACCAGGACAGTGTGGGTTAAGGTGTGAGACCAGGACAGTGTGGGTTAAGGTGTGAGACCAGGACAGTGTGGGTTAAGGTGTGAGACCAGGACAGTGTGGGTTAAAGTGTGAGACCAGGACAGAGTGGGTTAATGTGTTAGACCAGGACAGTGTGGGTTAAGGTGTGAGACCAGGACAGAGTGGGTTAAGGTGTTAGACCAGGACAGTGTGGGTTAAGGTGTTAGACCAGGACGGTGTGGGTTAAGGTGTTAGACCAGGACAGTGTGGGTTAAGGTGTTAGACCAGGACAGTGTGGGTTAAGGTGTGAGACCAGGACGGTGTGGGTTAAGGTGTGAGACCAGGACAGTGTGGGTTAAGGTGTGAGACCAGGACGGTGTGGGTTAAGGTGTGAGACCAGGACAGTGTGGGTTAAGGTGTTAGACCAGGACAGTGTGGGTTAAGGTGTTAGACCAGGACAGAGTAGGTTAAGGTGTGAGACCAGGACAGAGTGGGTTAAGGTGTGAGACCAGGACAGTGTGGGTTAAGGTGTTAGACCAGGACAGAGTGGGTTAAGGTGTGAGACCAGGACAGTGTGGGTTAAGGTGTGAGACCAGGACAGTGTGGGTTAAGGTGTGAGACCAGGACAGAGTGGGTTAAGGTGTGAGACCAGGACAGTGTGGGTTAAGGTGTGAGACCAGGACAGAGTGGGTTAAGGTGTGAGACCAGGACAGTGTGGGTTAAGGTGTGAGACCAGGACAGTGTCGGTTAAGGTGTGAGACCAGGACAGTGTGGGTTAAGGTGTGAGACCAGGACAGTGTGGGTTAAGGTGTTAGACCAGGACAGAGTGGGTTAAGGTGTGAGACCAGGACAGTGTGGGTTAAGGTGTTAGACCAGGACAGAGTGGGTTAAGGTGTTAGACCAGGACAGTGTGGGTTAAGGTGTGAGACCAGGACAGTGTGGGTTAAGGTGTTAGACCAGGACAGTGTGGGTTAAGGCGTTAGACCAGGACAGTGTGGGTTAAGGTGTGAGACCAGGACAGAGTGGGTTAAGGTGTTAGACCAGGACAGTGTGGGTTAAGGTGTTAGACCAGGACAGTGTGGGTTAAGGTGTGAGACCAGGACAGAGTGGGTTAAGGTGTGAGACCAGGACAGTGTGGGTTAAGGTGTGAGACCAGGACAGAGTGGGTTAAGGTGTGAGACCAGGACAGAGTGGGTTAAGGTGTGAGACCAGGACAGTGTGGGTTAAGGTGTTAGACCAGGACAGTGTGGGTTAAGGTGTGAGACCAGGACGGTGTGGGTTAAGGTGTGAGACCAGGACGGTGTGGGTTAAGGTGTGAGACCAGGACAGAGTGGGTTAAGGTGTGAGACCAGGACAGAGTGGGTTAAGGTGTGAGACCAGGACAGAGTGGGTTAAGGTGTGAGACCAGGACAGAGTGGGTTAAGGTGTTAGACCAGGACAGAGTGGGTTAAGGTGTGAGACCAGGACAGAGTGGGTTAAGGTGTGAGACCAGGACAGTGTGGGTTAAGGTGTGAGACCAGGACAGAGTGGGTTAAGGTGTTAGACCAGGACAGTGTGGGTTAAGGTGTGAGACCAGGACAGTGTGGGTTAAGGTGTGAGACCAGGACAGAGTGGGTTAAGGTGTTAGACCAGAACAGTGTGGGTTAAGGTGTGAGACCAGGACAGTGTGGGTTAAGGTGTTAGACCAGAACAGTGTGGGTTAAGGTGTGAGACCAGGACAGAGTGGGTTAAGGTGTGAGACCAGGACAGTGTGGGTTAAGGTGTGAGACCAGGACAGAGTGGGTTAAGGTGTGAGACCAGGACAGAGTGGGTTAAGGTGTGAGACCAGGACAGTGTGGGTTAAGGTGTTAGACCAGGACAGTGTGGGTTAAGGTGTTAGACCAGGACAGAGTGGGTTAAGGTGTGAGATCAGGACGGAGTGGGTTAAGGTGTTAGACCAGGACAGAGTGGGTTAAGGTGTGAGACCAGGACAGAGTGGGTTAAGGTGTTAGACCAGGACAGTGTGGGTTAAGGTGTGAGACCAGGACAGAGTGGGTTAAGGTGTTAGACCAGGACAGTGTGGGTTAACGTGTTAGACCAGGATGGAGTGGGTTAAGGTGTGAGACCAGGACAGTGTGGGTTAAAGTGCTAGACCAGGACAGTGTGGGTTAAGGTGTTAGACCAGGACAGTGTGGGTTAAGGTGTTAGACCAGGACAGTGTGGGTTAAGGTGTGAGACCAGGACGGTGTGGGTTAAGGTGTTAGACCAGGACAGTGTGGGTTAAGGTGTTAGACCAGGACAGTGTGGGTTAAGGTGTGAGACCAGGACAGAGTGGGTTAAGGTGTTAGACCAGGACAGTGTGGGTTAAGGTGTGGGACCAGGACAGAGTGGGTTAAGGTGTTAGACCAGGACAGTGTGGGTTAAGGTGTGAGACCAGGACAGAGTGGGTTAAGGTGTTAGACCAGGACAGTGTGGGTTAAGGTGTTAGACCAGGACAGAGTGGGTTAAGGTGTTAGACCAGGACAGTGTGGGTTAA